TGTTCCCTGCTCTGTGCATGTGCAGGTATGAAGGTCAAGCAGGAATATCTCAGGGGAGTGTCTTGCAAGATGTGTGACTGGGGGTCCCTATGTCTGAAAAGGGTCTCCTTGAAGGAATATCCTTATTTGCCTCCTACCTCCTGTCCACCTGCCCATGAATTCTCAAAGCCATCTTGCCACCCATCTGCTCACCAGTGCCTCTATCCTTTTACCCAACCACTGTAATCCATCCACTAGCTGCCACCCACCAACCTACCCACCCAATTCATCTCTTGGTTCATCACCCTCCAACCAGTTTCACCCACCCAGGCATCCGTCTACCCCCCATCCATTCATCTATCTATGCCCCCGTCTTTCCAGCCATTCACCCCATCCATCCACCCCCCTCCATCTATCCCTCATCCATCCACCCATCCCTCGACCCACCCATCCATTCATTTATCCCCTCATCCATTCATTCCTATCCACTCACCACCTACCCGGCCCTTTTTCTTCCACCTCTGACTAAAGGACTCAATCACACTCAAAGCGGGGTGTAATGAGACACCCAAGAGAGGAGTCCACAGGTTGCCTGGGCAGGAGGGAATCTGAGGGCTTGGGGAGGGGGAAATGCCCTTTACACTTAGGGAGCTGCTTCCTGGAAGAGGTGAGGGTAAAGAAGCAGAGCTCCACAGCCCGGGCAGGATGTGCAGCAGCACAGCAGGAAAGGAGGGCAGTGTGCTCTAGGCAGGGCAAAGGCTGGCAAGTGGGAAGTGCGTGTGCCTGTCGGGTGCGTGGGTAGCTCCTCAGCGTGGCTGGGACCCAGCACCGGCCTCTCCTTTCGCCCACATTCAAGGGCTCAGGGGCCCAAGGCCCTAAGGGGAGCCTCCGTCCCAGGCCTCCCTCGCCTCCGTCTTCTCCTACCTCCTGCAGCTCCAGTGCCCCAGCACCAGGCCGCCGTGCCCACTGCCGGCTCCGGTTACCCACTCCCAGCTGGGCCACGAGCTCACACCAGCAGCTCCTAGAGCTCGGCTCCGACACCCGATCAGCTCTGAGAGGGTGGCCGCCCCAGGGGGCCGGGGATGAGCTGAGGGAGGAGACAGGCTGGCAGTGGGGCTGCCTGTTGGTCAACGGGCTCTGGCACTGGCGTGAAGACACCAAGGTCTTCCCTATCATCTCTGGGCTGCTTTCAGTTTCTGGAATGAGCCATGTTCTCTCTCTCCTTCCAGCCTTTGCACTTGCTGTGCCCTCTACCAGGAACACTCTTTCTGTTCGGCTCATTCTTTCCTGCTCACTCGTTGCTGCAACATGCCCTCCTCCAAGAAGCCTTCCTGGATGTCCCCACGCTGGGTCAGGTGCCTCTTCTGGGCTCCTTCATTGCCCTGTGCCCTCTGTGTCTCCCACTGCACCCCAGTCACACTCTATCACCCCTGCATGGTCACATGTTTGTGTCCATCACCAGCCACAAGGGTAAGGATGGTGCTGCCTCGGTTTCCCTGTCTCCCCAGCCCACAGTGGGTGCGCAACACGTGTTTCTTAAAGAGTCCTTAAGGCCACAGGCCCCAATGACCTTGAGCAGTTTCTCAACTTCTTGGTGCAGTCAGGACCTGTCCTGCTGAATGCAAACCATGCACCTGGGAAACGTTCGGATAACTTAGAGCGACAATCAAGACCCTCCCTTGGACCAGAGTCCTGCATCCCTGCTCTCTGGCACTGGCCTCATGGAGTTTACTAATCTGCAAAAAGGGGAAAGGGCGCAACGGTCGCTTGTGCCCCTCACTTTAGAGGTGACTGCAGAACTCTCGCGTGGGCTGCCGCCCCGATTTTGAGCCAGGAACACTGGCCAGCCCCGCACCAGGCTCCGCGAGTGTACAGAAGTAATTGGGATTCTCTCTGCCAGCAGTTAAGATGGCGCCTGCGGCGTCAGCATGAGGCGCATGCGCCTTGGAGGGAGCAGCCGGGCGCGTAGGAAGGAAATGCGTCTCCCGTCCCGCCCCATTTCCGGCGGAAGCGGCCTCAACAAGGGAAACTTTATTGTTCCCGTTGGGACGGCGAAGATGTCGGTGAATTACGCGGCGGGGTTGTCGCCGTATGCGGACAAGGGGAAGTGCGGACTCCCCGAGGTGAGTGCGGCTGGGGGTCCCGAAGGCCGCCCCCAGGGCCGCGGGCTGGGAGGGGCCGGATGGCAGCGCGGCATTGTGGGAATATCAGCAGGCACTGAGGCTAGACAATGGGAGGGACTTCCCAGTGAGAAGGGGGCGGGAAGTGACGCCCCCTGTGCGCCGGGGACGCGAACACGCCCAACTCTGGGGTGACCGGGCAGGGGCAGACAGAGACCCGGGCCGGGGAAGGGCTGATGGGAGGAGAAGGGTGGGGTCCCAGGCTGGGGGAACGTCAGGGGCAAAGGCCGGGAGGCGAGAATAGGCACAGTTGAGAACAGATTAGGCGAGAGAGGTCTCCAGGCCAGGACG